CAGACAGGGATTGGACTGGACTATGGGACATAAAGTGATGCTCGTGAAGCGTGTGCCTCTTAGTCAAGTAGATACAAGTGACCAAAAGCGCAGCTTCTGTCCAGAGGTGAGATGGGAAGGCAGAGAGAGTTAGGAGCTGGTTGAATGGTCATGGGGAATCAGGGGCAGAAAGGAGGAGTGTGCTGTCGTAGAAGGGGGTGAGCAATTAGGGTCACATAACAATGTATCTATAAAATTTTGTATGAGAGACTAACTTGAAATGTAAACGTCATTTAACTACAACAATAAAAAAAAAAAAACCTTAAAAAAAATAGTCCAAACCAAACCCATTGCCGTGGAGTCGATTCCGGCTCATAGTGAATAAAAAAATTAACTAAAAAAGAAAAAAAAGATCTAAGAATCATTTATATGAGATAGCTGAAGCCAAGGGGCCATAAGGAGGTGCCATAAGAAACTTGTAAAAGGTTAAAAATACTGAAGATAAAGCCTAAAACGATACATTTAGACACCAAGTGGAAAAATACTGAGAAGGAAAAGCAGAGAAGAAAAGAGTGCAGTTGCAGAAGTCAGGAACAAATGTTTGAAGAAGGAGTTAGTTCAGCATTATTAGATTCTCTTGAAAAAGTAACAAATTTTAGAACAGAAAGTCCATTTGATGTGTCTTTTTTTGGGAGGTGGGGTGCTGAGGAAGTTCATCATGTAGCAAATGTTAGATGTGAAGGGAGGTGTGAGAAAATGCAGAGAACAAGTATACTTTCCCTTTTCAAGAAGCTGGACTCTGAAAGGAAGAAGGATTGCTTGAACATTATCCTTGGGGAAAAAGAGAGATTGGGATTCAACATACAGGCATAAGCAGCAATAAAAATAATAATTATTATGCTGGTAATTAAAGGATAAATTAGTGCTGTAATCTTTGTATTTCTATTTCCCGGACATGGAGCGGGGGAACGTCATCATACATAGAGTGAAACTTACTATTTAAACTTACCTCATATCGCCACAGTCCCCCAATGTCACTGCTTCCTTCAAAACAGGTCGGCTCGAGTCCTTCTTCCAGACAGCTCTTAATGGCACCTAATCCACTGACCCCAGCACCAATCACTGCAATTCTTTTTCCCCGCATTGTCTCTTGAATCAGGAAATTTAAATTATGAAACCAGAATTATTGGCATATAAATTTAAGTTTTTTTTCTTTTTTATTGTATTTTAGGTGATGGTTTACAGAACAGATAGTTTCTCATTAAACAGTCAGTACACATACTGTTTTATGAC